ACTTTTGCACCCAATCCGTGGAATCCGTGTGTATGGAGCGGTGTGATGCTGGGAACAGGGCGTGACGGCTGCCACAGGAGACGGGAACGCAAGCCCAGGAAGAGGTCCCGAGAGTAGACCGGGATGCACGGATGGAGACTCTGATCCGTTTTTGCTCCTCGCACGCCCCGGCCCTGAGGACGCGGCCTTGCGGCGCTGGCTGCGCGCTGGCGGGAACGGACCCGGGCGTCCCCGCCGCGGTCTCCGGGACGCGGGCCTGCGCGCCGCCCCGTGAACCGCATTCCGGGGAGCGGGGCTTTTCCCGCGGAGCTCACTGCCCAGCGCCGCAGGGCGGGGCAGCGGGCCCAGCTTTTTTCGCGCCAGGAGCCTGTTTCGTGGGAGACAACTTTTCCACGGGTGGAGGAGTGAGGGGAGAGGGTGGGGGTGCAGAGTGGGGGGCAGAGAACTCGGGACCTTGGGGTGGGGACAGGAGGCAGGGCTCGGGCGAGCTTCGCTGTCGCCCATGGTTAGGCGACCTCTGGAGTAAGGTATAAAACACTTGAAAAGTGGAAGATTAAACTTTTGGAAATATTACATTGTTTTTATGTTAATGGAAATATCAGACGTAAGATTCTAAAAATATTTTTGAGGTTGGGGATAGGTGGGAGGAAACTCCGGAGGTGCCCCAGGGCCAAGATAAAGGACATGGATACAGGCCAGAGACCCAGTTCTAAGCCGGGTTGTTCCCGCTTTCTGGAGAAGAGCTGAGTCTGGTGAATCTTGAGTGCACCTGCGCAGAAGATTCTACAGGACCCCTGCTTCATTGTAATAGCATTATAATGAATTAACATTGAATTGCAACCCCCTTCTCCGGTGGCCAAGGAAAATCATGAGACCATGCCGGGGTCCAGCCTCTGCAGGGGTCAGAGTCCCTGAAGGATGGACGGCCCAGGCGAGGAATGAAGAGTCAGACACCCGGCTGGATGCCGGAGAACAGCCAGCCTCTTTGGGATTGATTGACTGAATTCCCAGAGTTTGATTTGAGCTTTATTTTTATAGAGATTGTAACATAATAGGTATATGGTATGACCAATTAAGCAGAAAAGATTAATGCAGAGGTAACTAGAAAAAGTACAGGAAATTCCATAGATCAAGTTATGTTAAACAAAGGTTATTTCGACCAGGAGAGTCATTAATTAGACAATTCGAACTAGCTGTATGTACAGAGCTTTAGATATCTTATTATTTATTAAAGTTCTTATAATTAAGCATGGGACATTTATTTCTACATGCTTAGTTTGTAATAGTTAATTAGCTTGTCCTTCTTTTATCTGTCTAATTCTACTTGATATGTATTTTTGTCTAAGGTAGAGGAGGGGCTGTTATTCCATCAACTTTTAGATATTCAGGGGCTACTTCATTAAAGGGGAACTTTGTTCTCTGGCCAAGAAATTATTTTGTCTAACTTCATTGGAATTATGCCGATCATTGGGCCTGAAATGCAGGTTTCTAAAAATCCCACCACCTACTAATAGAAAAACCAAACACACAAGGAGAGATAGACAGGAAATCCAGCCGCAGTTGCCTCTGCTGTGCAGATGCATCTCATCCGTCCTGACCGAGTCAAGGGACGGCTGCTGGTCGGCTCCCAACAAGACCACATGAACAAAAGCTTTAAAGTAATACTTGTACATGCCCAATAAAAGCCTGCCAGAACTAGCAAGGAAATATCCACCCCATGAGAATAGAATCCCTCCGCCCCTGAGGTCAATCTGTGCTCAGAGTGAGCCCATTCCCATGTTCTGTGGAGTGTGCTATAGCTTAAAATCTGCTCTCTTTCTGCCAAAAACTCTGTATATTCCTTTCAATTCTTTGTCCACCATCACCAAGAACCTGGTTACCTTTATCACCTGTGGCATAAAACATTATCCAATTAAGCAATTTAAAATACTTTAAAATCACTTATTAACTGAAGTCAATGTGAATTTAAATTTTTTAATGTTTTAACATTTAGATGGAACCAGCAGGGATTAAATTTCCACCTTATTTAAAGTGTATTCTATTTACACCAAAAGGAGAATTTAATATAATGTAATGCTCTTGGTGATCATGGAAGGAAACACATTAGTTTTCTCAAGATGATTAGTGTTTGAGAGCATTGCCATGGTGCCATTGCCTTTTTACTTCGTAACAATTTTGAAGAATTTTTGTAACTTCACGTTCCTGAAACGTCTTCACAGGCTCCCAACTTGACCAGATTGTTAAAAATAAAAATCAGGGTTGTAAATGAGCACTTGAGGGATCCGTTCTTTTCTTTGGTTGGAATGTTTAGACCAAGTGGAATTGGCACATCTACTTGCACCGGGCCATCTTTTTTTGTAGTCCTCTCAGCAGCCTGCAAGTGGAAGGTCATTTCATGTCTGTAACATTTTTATAATTTGTCCATCATGGATGTTTTGGTATTAATTTTCCTTTTTTTTTTTAGTACTGTGTGAAAGGATTATTTATCTTGCTTTGATGCCTTCTCTAGTGCCCTGCTTGAGGGAAGTACCCTACCTTACCACTAACCCTAACCCAGGAAAAAGCTTTCCAACGAGTGTTGTGATGTCCAATGGCTGAAAGCCTATGAAAGTCTCATTTCCCATAGTGGTCTCCTTCCCACCCTCCACCCACTCACCCCCTCCCTCCCCTCATCTCCACCTGCATCCTCTTTATTTAGCTTTGTCCCAGTCTTTACAGCATTTTCATTTATTCTGTGCCATAAAATAATATCGCCAGAGGTAGCCTGACCAGAACATGAAAGAAGAGATTGTTCAGCTCATGAATCCTTTGCAGAACAGCCATTTTTTGTTAGACAACTCTCCTCTGTGCTGATTGTCTGCACGGGTTCTCTCATTAATGGTTCAGGACCTGGACTACAGGAGAAAATGGGGCTCTCTCCCCTCACAGTCCTCCAGACAGTTGACTCTGGTAGAGTTTCCATTTGCTGGAGGACCTCAACAGGGCTCCACAGAGAGTGTTAAACAAGCTGCAGACAAAGCTTTTCCTGGCCTGGCTGGGACTGGATTGTGCAGATTATTGTTCGTTACTTTAATACTAAAGGCAGCTATCATTCAGTATGTCCAGATTCTCAGTCTGTAATTTACAAGTTTTCTTTCATTGAATCTTTACAGTTTCCTGAGTGACCACTAGTAAAGTTGTCTCAGTGTTTTGGAATAGGAAATGAAAATCCGATGTCCTTTAAATTCAGGAGCCACAGACATTTTGCAGAAGTGAAGCTTTCTCCAGTCTCGCCACCCTGCAAAGTCCTCCCCGGTGTTTCCCGCCCCCACAGCCCTCATAACCTCCCCAACGTTGCCCCCACTCCGCTCCCCATCCGTGGAAGTTGTCTTCCACGAAAGCGGTCCCTGGAGCCAAAAATGTTGGGGACCACACCGGTCTGCAACGTCGTAGCGTTGAAAAACCGCTGGGACCTAGTCCTAGCTGCTGCTGTCAGAGGACTGAGCGCCGCTCCGCGATCCGAAAGGCCAAGGATTGGATTCCCGGAGCTTCCCCTGCAGCGGTGCAAGTCTCGGTAGCGGGGCCGGTCCGCAGCGAGAAGAAACCAATGGCTGCTTCTCTCCTGTGCATTGATGGTATCTCTCCGGGACCTCTCTTCCCCTGAAACGGCTCAACACACACGGATTAAAAGTGGCCTCCTCCCGAGGTGGACGAAAGTGTATGGAAAGAAACCAAAAGTGCAGGAAAGGCGGGGCTCCCTGCGGAGTGTTTAACACCACGTCCCCGGCTGGGCCAGGCAGAGCGGATCTTTGCTCACGACCATCAGGATCCAGGCAGCACAGAGTTGCTGGGGCCGCGGCGCCACGGCGTTGCCGCTGCGCTGCGACCCCCGCGGACTGAACGCACCGGCTCCCAGCTGCTGCTGCTCCAGACCCGGCGGCCGAGAAGGCCGCCTGCGCGCCCTCTGGCGGTCGGCTGGAGACTCGCGCTTCCCTCGGCACCAGGGAAGGACCTTCCCCTGAATGGCGGGAATCCTGTCTCCAGGGCCCGGATCCCTCTGTGCCCGGCGGCGGGACTGATGCTCTGCTCCATCCCCGCTTCCAGTCTCCGCGGGGACCTCCTTTCGAGCCACAGCCCAGACAACCACGAGATCTCTGCGCTGCTTTTGAAACAGCCGAACACTGTCCCGCCTCAGTCATGCCTGGATGACAGAAACGAATTCAAATTTTCTGGCAAAACAGGGACTATCGCCCAAACGCAGAGGACTCGACGCAGCTGTTTCCCGCAGCGGATGCCCCAGCAGGTCTTCGAACTCGTCACGGCAGAGCACAGCCGTGCGGGCGGACCCGCACCGCCCCCCAGCGCGCGCTCTCCAGCGGTCGCCGCAGCCTGGAGCGCCCGGGTCGGACAGAAGAAGGAAACCCGGCCCGTCCCTGTGCAGTGCCTCCTGTCGGGACGTTCTTCCCGGGATCCGCAGCTCCCCGCGGGGAGAGAAGTCCGGCCCCTGCGCCCGGGAGTCGTCAGAGTCCAGACTGCGGGGCGCCTGGTCCTGCGGTAGCAGTCGGTCCTCCGAGGAAGGCCAGGGAGTCAGACGGTGGTTCGTGCTCCGCGAGTCTCGGTCCTGAATTGACCGTGCGCTGCGCTGCCGAGCAGCCTGCACTCACGTGTCTGCACCAGCTGAGAAATACTCGAATCCAAAACCGTGGGGGGACTTTAAAATACAAAACATAGTGAATCGTGAGTCTGCAAAATTATGTTCAGAGAGAAGAATGCGAACTGCTTTCTTAGTAAAACAATTCTATGACATACTATGTTCTTGGTTTTTTCCGGGGGGGGGGGGGCGCGGTGGGAGGAAAGAGGCCTGAGAGGTGACGGGCGGTCAGGGAAAGGCAGGTTCGAGTCCCGAGGGCCGAGCCCGCGTCCTTCCGCGGCACTGGCCCACGCGGGAGACTCGGTAGGGATGGGGCGGGACGCAAACCAAAAATGTCCTTATTAATGTGTTTTCGTTACTTACTTATTTCTCATGAGCGTTTACTCTGTCGGGCTTGTCTGAGTTTTCCCCCCTGTGCCCCCGTCCGCGTGGTGCGTGTTCGGGGCCCTCGCGCGCCCCCTTCGCGCCGCAGCCGCCTCCCCGCGGCAGCAGGCAGCGCGCCCCGCGTCTGCGCGCGCGACCCGGGCAGAGGCCGCGCTCCGGCCGCGCGGACGGCGGACGAGCCGCCGCGGGCGGCCTCGCGGGGCTCCTGGAGCTGCCACTGCGCGCGGAGCCTCCCGGCTTCTTCCCCGCGCCGCGCGGTCCGCGCTTTGCTCCCGCGTGGAAACGCGGGCGGCGAGTTTGGACGCGGCAGCCGCGCGCTGAGCGGGCTGAGGCCGCGGGGAGCGCGCTCGCGGGTTGGGACGGACTCGGGGCGGCGCTGCGGAGGCCGCGCAGGGGCGTGGGCGCCGCCCCGGGTGGGCGCCCGAGCCCGGGGAGACACCCCCGGGAGGACACACGCGTGTGCGGGAGACACGCGCGGATCAGGCGCTTCTGGCGCGTGCGCGGGCCGGGAGAGCGGGCGGGAGCGGGTCCGGGGGCGGAGAGCCTCTCTGAGCTGCGGTGTCGGGCGGCGTTGCCCGGCCCGTGGGGCAGCGGGGAGCGGTGCGTGGAGGACAGTTTCCAGGGACGGCGGGCAGGGGGCGCGGGGTGGGGGCGCGCGGGGTCCTGGGGGCTGGGGGTCGGGGAACGCGGGGAGCTTTGCTGGTCCCCAGGGTGTTGGGGGCCCCTGGGGCGAGGTATCAAAACCCCTCAGAAGAGCAACCTTAGACTTTTGGAAATAGCTCATTACTTTTATATCAAATAGAAACATGGAACCCCAAATTTTAAAAGTGTTCTAACCTGAAAACATCATTTCATTAAACAATTTAAAATATTTACACCCAAACCAGAGTCCAGCATCATTTAAGACCCTTGCCATTCATGGAAGTGCACTCGAAATGATATTGGGAAGTTAAACAGACAGAATACTTTCTTTCATGGGGCTCCTGGCAGAGAAAACAGGACTTGAAGTTTTAGTCATTAGGTAGGGCCCTTGCCAGGTCTATGAAGGGCATGCATAAAGCTCTAAGACAGAGTGTAGCTCCTGGTTTCTGGGAGAAATTTTGTCTGATGGTTGTTGATTCAACTACATGGAGTGTATGAAATAGAAACTGAAGTGAAATACAGAATCATAGAATTAAAATTCCTTCAAGCATGTAGTGTGTATGTGTCTTCTGTTTGTGGATTCCTGATGCAAGGCAGTGCTGTGTATCCATTGCTTGCTGCTGCTGCTGCTTTGGGGCTGGTGGCGTGTGGGTAACTAAGCATTCAGTCAAAGTACTGCTAATGCACCTGACATTAGCAGAGGCACCCGGGAGCCTGGAAGTGTGTGGGTCAGGGGAAGCTCCCAGGACTAGCATCTGGTCAGCTGAGACCCCAAGGATCTTTAGGAATTAGCCAGGCCAATTCATGATGATCCGTTTTGCACGTTTATACTAACGTGTAAAGTGCAAGTATTTTAGGATAGCAGGTAAAAGTAGAGGTTTCACATTGGGAGGTGAGACTGAGTAAAGACATGCACATACAAGTCATGACCATAGAGCTGACATTTGGAGCTATGTGGGAGGTTGAGATTTTTGCACAGAGGATGAGGTGTGGCGCCCTGTTTGGACTACTGAGGACCAACAGGATTCCCCAAGATGACAGGGGGTGGTCCGCAGAGGAAAGAAGGCAGGAGGGGCAGAAAAGCAGAAGATGTGGGTGACACAGTAGCCTGAGAAGGATCAACTTTATTTTTTGAGTTTTGTTTTTTCATTATTTATTTATTTATTTTGAGAGAGAGAGGAGAGAAACTGATTTGTTGTTACTCTTTTAAAATATCTAAACAATTATTTTTATTTTTAGAGAGAGGGGAAGGCAAGGAGAAAGAGAGGGGAAGAAACATCAATGTGTACTTGCCTCTGGCAGGCCCCTTGCTGGGGACCTGGCTGGCGAAACAGATGTGTGCTCCCACTAGGGAATGGACTGTCCACCCTTTGGTTCACAGGCGGCTGTTCAATCCACTGAGACACAGCAGCCAGGCCAGAAGGTCCACTTTAAATGGAGGATGTGGTCAATGTCAGACGTTTCTGAAATTCCAGCACTGTTGGAATTCCAGCCTTCAAGACCAGGCAGGTTCATGGTATTGTGCAGACGGGAAAATGTTTGTGAAGCAGTTGGGATGTCTGGCATGCCTTTGTTCACCAGTGGGTGAGCCACCCAGGCTGCAGGCTGCTTGTCTATCTGCATGCCTCATGTTATGGCCCTTGCTCCCCAGGGTGGCACCCATCATGGCGCCTGTCCCCTTGCATGTGTCTCTCATCATCATTGCCCCCAGCGGGGAGTCCCTACCTGCTAAAGTGCTAGATGGGCCCAAAGCTGGCAGGATCCCAGAAATTATATGACATAAAATACTTCTGTGCGTGCGAGCTCACTTCCTGTTATGGGAACACTTTTTGGGACCCAGTCTCCAGGCTGTGAGAACACTGGTTATCAGGTGCTTCCAAGGCCATGGGAACACTGCTTCCCTTAGTTACCGGGACTCCTGTATGCGGGAGCCGGACTGCCCCCACTTCCCTACACCAGCCATTGTGCACTGACGGTGGTCTCCGACCTGAGGAAGATGGGATTTATTACCTACTTTGCTTGGGCAGGACAGGAGCAGAGGGAGGCTGAGGGTACCTGACAGGGGGTGGGGAAATGAGCTGCATGGGCAGACGTGGGGTCAGATACTTCATTTTAAGGTGCTTAGTACAATGCATCTTCCATAGATTAAGAACTTCAAACATGACAGGTATGCTTCCTGTTTTTCTCCTGAGAGCTACATAGGAGAGTACAATTATGTGTCTCTTCCTATGAAGCCTTAGGATTAGTGTCTTACCATTCAGTACCTGACCTTCAGGTAAAAAAGCAGAATTCTGTGATAATACTGGGGAAGGCTGAAAAATTGTGTTTCTCATTTGAAAGAAGTGTCTGATTTGTTCCACAATGATATGTTGGCTTGTACTAACATGTGAGAAAGGGGAATAAGTACCCAGATGTGGGGCAGAAGCACATGACACTGAGTGGTCCTGTCACCTGCACACCCTGCCTCCCTCTCAGCCTCCAGCTGCATTTCCATGTCGCTCAGGTTTCCCTCCTCTGCAGGTTCAAACCCTCACCTCCTCCTTCACTCTCTTTACCTCTCCACCCAATCTCACAACTCCTTGTATTCAGTAGTGGTTTCAGCATCAAGGTTTCCCTAGAGAGCAGAATGTCACAAGTAGAAAGTATAAGTTACATGATATTTCTAGGTTTTGCAGGAACATCTGTAAGAAAGATGTTTCTTTTCTTGTTGAAAAAGATTTTATTCACTTATTTCCAGACAGGAGAAGGCAAGAAGGAAGAGAGGTACAGAAACATCAGTGTGTGGTTGCCTCTCACACACCCTCACTGGGGCGCTGGACCTCAACCCAGGCAGGTGCCCTGACTGGGTACCGAATTGGCAGCTATTTGGTTTGCAGGCCCACCCTGAGCCACACCAGCCAGGGCTGGAAACTGTTTCTTAATGTCTGCTCAATATGATGTAATAGAACCTGTAGCTAAAAGGAAACAAAGCAAGATGCAGCTGGTGGGTGGGCATATGAAACTCTTCTTGGGGAGACTGCCCCCTGGTGGCCAAGGACAATAAGCACAGCCACCAAGAGGAGGGCAGGCTCCTAGTGTGGACAGAAATCCCACCATTTCCTGGGATGTCCTTTCATGGTATGAAAAGGCTACTTCTAGGCAAAAATAATGCTGTCATGAACCTGTTTCCAGATACCTTATTCATTACACAGAGAAAGCGTCTCCAGCACGGGGCAGTTAAAGGCGGAGAGAAAGATGTGTTCTCTGCCTACACCTACTGGGCAGACCAGAGCCCCCTTATGAATTTCCCATTGTGAGTCCTGTGGGACCCTGGGGGGCAGGTAGAGCTGCCAATGCAGGGATGAAATGAAGCACAGTGGTAATGAGGAAGATCTCATTAAACATTCATTAAGCAACTCACAATGGTTCCATTTTACTTTCACAGTTGATTCCTACTACCACACTTCATCTCTTAAAACAACGGTCTTCCTGTCACATTGAATATCCATCCTCACATCTCTGTCATGCAGGAGAAACCTCACCCAGGAAGCAGAGGGGAGAGTTTTCATGGAAACTAGAGAATGTGAGTGAATAGCATCATTGTTACCTGAGAGCTAGTGACCTTTCATTTATTCAAATGTATCAATTTTGGTACAATTGTGTAGGAATTTTCTGTAGTCAGCACAATATTTTCACTGTCCCGCTCACCAGGACGTATGTGTGAATTGCTAGGGAGGCAGAGAGGCCCCACAACTGGGGAGGGGTCTCCGGTCTCTTCCTTCTGTGACACACTCCTGGTTGGGACGTGCTGCTCTCCTGCCTGGGCTTGCCCAGGACCTCAGTGGCACTTCAACAGATTTCTGTGCTTTGCTGTCATATCCCACCAGCTGGCAGAGGGGAGAATAAAAGATTTCAGGAGGTGGAGAGGTCTTGTGAACACTTGGTGTCTGGACGGTATTAGTGAGGACTTCCCAGAAGCAGAATGACCAGGTAGGAAACCCTCAGAAGAATTGCTTTTCAAGTCTAAATGCAGCCTGTCGGCAGTATTTTCTGTTTTTGCTGTTGTTCTGGGAGATCACTCTTTTCCTGTTAAGCTCTTCAACTGATGGGATGAGGCCCATCCCCATTATGGAGGGAAATCTCCTTTCCTCAGTGTCTGTTAACTTAAATGTTACATGGCCTGAATTCTCCTGTGAAGCAGACATTCACAGAAACATCTAGAGTAATGTTTGTTCACATATCAGGGAACTGAGGCTAAGCTGACATGTAAATTAACAATCACACTGCACCTCCCTCACTGATGTCCTAACTTTTTTGAATATTTTTGTTCCTCTAGTCTTCGAAGTCTGCTCATCTTTTTTTGTTTTGGAGGATTTTTAAAAATCAATGTTTGGTGACTGTTCAAGGCCTGGCAGGTTCATGGTATTCGGGCAGATGGAAGGATATTCACAGAGCCTTGGGGTGTTGGGTGTGCCTTTATTCACCAGCGGGCAAGCCACAGGTGCTGCAAGCTGCGTGTCCCTGCGTGTCTCTGTGTGTCTCTGCGTGGCACACGTCGTGGCCCTTGGTCCCCAGTGAGGCAGCCAGAAGGGAGCCCCTAGCCCCTTTTCAGTATGAGAAGAAACAAAGCAGGTAAAAAGCCAGGAAATTAGATAACATAGCATAATTCTGTGCATGCAAGCCCACTTCATGTTATGGCAGCAGTTTATGGGAGCCAGTCTCAAGCCCATGAGAACCCTGGTTATCAGGCCCCTCCAAGGCTAAGGGGACACTGCTTCCCTGAGTTACCCAGACACCTGGCTGAGGAAGCCAGACTGCCTCCTCCTACCCTGCAGTCCATCTGAGAGAGAAGTGTGGTGGCAGAGACAAAACATCAGTGTGGGAGAGCGTGATCAGTCACCTCCCACATGCGCCCTAATGGGGGGTGGAACCCACAGCCAAGCTTTGGGACAGGGAACAAAACCCACCACTTTTTGCTGTACAGGCTGATACTCCCACCGACTGAGCTTTCAGCTGGAGCTACTTCTGTATTTTATAGAATTTGTAAATTTTCTATATTTTGTTAATTTCTAGGTGAGGAACTCTTAATATAAAACTTGAGTCGGTCCCCTTGCCAGATGAGTCACTCTAGCCATGTCCTGTTTTATACAAAGTTAGAAATTT